ACAAAAATACATCGAAAGGAAAAAGGGATTATCATCAAATCACTGAGAGAGAGGATCAACAGGTATGTTAAGTTTTCTTCTTGCTTAATTGTCATGGTTTCATTCAAATCATTAGTAATTATTCTTTGTTTACTAAAAGTGTTGCTAATGTTTTTATTGTTTCGTTAGTATATGTTGATGACATTGTTATAACTGGAAATAGTCAAATTGAAATAAACAACGTAAAATAATTCTTGAAAACTAAGTTTCTTATGAAAGACTTAGGAAAATTAATGTTTTTTTTCTAGGAACTGAAATTTTAGATTCTGTTGATAGAGTTTGCATGTCGCAAATGAAATATTGTCTTGAATTAATAAATGATTTTGAATATTTAGGCTGTAAACCTTGTAATACTCCCATGGACATGAATTTACTTGTAACATATTCTAGTAGTTCTAAACATCTTCCTTTAATTGATTATACAAGATTTCAAAGGTTAATTGGTAAGCTTATTTATCTTTTAGCTACTAGGCCTGATATTGCGTTTGTTGTTCATTGTCTTAGTCAGTTCATGCATTCTTCTAGACAATCTCATTTGAATCTTGCTTTTAGAATTCTCAGATATTTGAAATCATCTCCAGGTAAAGGTGTCAATTTTACCAGATCTGGAAGTTTTTGTTGAACTGCTTATGTTGATGCTGATTGGGGTAAGTGTCTTTCCTCTAGACACTCTGTTACTAGTTTTCTGTCTTTTCTTTGGCAATTCTATGATTTCTTGTAAAAGTAAGAAACAAAATATTGTTTCTCGTTCTTCTGCCAAATCTGAATATCGTGTTGTGGCTACTGCCACTTGTGAAATCATTTGGGTTCTCAAAATTCTATTAGACTTAAATATAAAAGATTTATTTCCTGTAAATTTGTTCTGTGACAATATCTGCTATCCAAATTGCCAATAATCATGTCTTTCATGAACGTACAAAACATATTAAAATTATCAAATTCGGGAAAATATCAATAAATGATTGTTAAAAGTGGTAAAAATTATTTCTTCTGAACAACCAGCTGATATTTTCACAAAAGCTCTTGGTGTTAATCATCATAATTTTTTATGTTAAAAAATAAGAATGTTTTACTTATTCAAAAGTCAAGATTGAGGGCGAGTGTTAAAATATGTTCTATCTTTGTCAATCTTAACTTTTGTTCCTTTTTTTCTGTCAGGTTTATGGTTGATAAATCTGTCAATAGTTGAATGTTGAAGGACTGCGCCTCACTTTTGTGGATTCTTAAAGGGGAGCAGAGCAATTATTGGGTTATTCAAGATTTCTGTGATATTTTTCCATAAATATAAATAGGGTATTTTCCTTAGAATACTCAGATTTTTCTTATTATTTTCATTTTGTATTCTCTCAACTCTCTCTCTCTCTCTCTCTCTCGTCTTCTTTTTCTTTAGGTTTAATGTGTAGTTAGGGTTTATATTTATAATCTGTTTGATATACAAGGAATACATTTATTTGATTATCTTTTTGTAAACGGAAGAATTGATTATAGTATTTCCCTTTAACTGGACGTGGTTATAATCGGGCCGGTTGAGACCCTATTATAAATTAGGCGAATGAACGTGCGAGAAGAAGAGTTAACATGAGAAACGTAAGAAGACATTCGAACCATTGATAATATTTAATCTCAAACTTACCCATAAAACATGTTTGATATATCAATTAACCCGATAAATCTAAGTGCATCTCAATCATTAATATATATTCAAGATTTTTGAAGGTCTCTTCTTGTAATTCTCAACCTATCACTTCTTCCTAGGGGAACACGACACACGAATTGTATAGACCACGTGGCATTTTGCAAGACGTTGCAATCCGTTTGCAAGGAAGCCCCTAAGGAGATCGATTTCTCGCTTCCCATTGTCATTAAATGAAAATGGTACACGTATTGGACCCTCAAGTTGTGCATAAACCCCAATTTAGTCCATGAAGTTTAGAAAATTTTAAATAGAGTCAATAAGTTTATATGTAACGTTAAAATGGCCATGTTTTCCGTCACTTGATAAAAGGGAACAAATTTATTAATTGATACCTAAAATTGGCTTAAGGATGCAACAATAATCTCTATTTTTTTTATACATTGACTTCTTAGAGAAAATACTGTTTAAGAATTTAATTCAATTGAAAGAAAGTTTAATATCATGGAATTGTAATCAAGTTTTGTCAATATTTTATTTTAGCTACTTAGGTGACATTTGTTTTTTAAGAGGTGCTGAAGTCTGATTTCACTTCTGATCTATTAGAGATGGTGTTGAAGTCTGAAATCTGAATCAGTCATACTGTTTTTATGTCTGAAGTCTGAAATCTGAATCAATATAAACACGAACAAAGTCTCATAACAACTAGAACCGATATTCATTTTGCATTAATTGTATCACCAACATTCTCTTGCTCGTTGGTTTGATCATACTCAGAAAATAACTCATATATAGGAGAGATTGATTTGGATAGATCGGTAGCTTGAGACCGAGCGAGAGATTGATATGGTCTCTGGATCGTATGATTTGGATAGATCGGTATGATTTGGTAGCTGGAGATCAAGCGAGAGATCGATATGATGTCCTCATGTGCGAATAAGAGCCCATTAAAGGTTTAGGGCTTGTTTGTTTAAAAAAAAAAAACTCTTAATACCTCTTAAGTCTGAATCGGTCAGACGTTTTTATTTTCAAACCGTTTGATTTTTTTTGAAAATAAGAGCTGAAAAGCTCTTATTGTCCTCTGAATTTTTAAGTGGTAGTCTAAACTCTTAATGGGCTCTTATTCACACACCATATCGATCTCTCGTTCTCTCGCTTGATTTTCAGCTACCAAATCATACCGATCTATCCACATCATACGATCTAGACACCATATCGATCTCTCGCTCGGTCTCAAGCTACCGATCTATCCAAACGATCTCTACAAATCGATCTCTCCTATATATGAGTTATTTTCTGAGTATGATCAAACCAATGAGCAAGGGATGATGGCGACACAATTAATGCAATATGAATATTGGTTCTAGTCGTTATGAGACTTTTTTCGTGTTTATATTGATTCAGATTTCAGACTTTAGACGTAAAAACAAACAGTCTGACTAATTCAGATTTCACGACTTCAGCACCACCTCTTATAAACTAGAAGTGAAATCAGACTTCAAACTTCAAACTTTAGCACCTCTTAAAAAACAAACACTACCTTAGACTACCACTTAAAAATTCAGATGACTATAAGAGCTTTTCAACTCTTATTTAAAAAAAAATCAAACTGTCTGAAAATTAAAAACGTTTGACAGATTCAAACTTAAGAGGTATTAAGAGATTTTTTTCAAAAAACAAACAAGCCCTTAATCTTATTTTGTACACATATAGTAAACCAACGAGTGTGAGGAGGAGATGGAGGATCTTTTCAAAATGTAAAAATAATAGTAAAAACAAAAGTTAAAATAATTTAATTATTCTATACACACCAACAATTCATTCTGGGTGCATATAGAGTCCAGGTTAACACATTTGTACACGTCGATTTTTGTAGTCGTTATAACTTTTAAAAAACTAAGAAAGATGTTCAAACATTAGTGACTAAAATAAGAAAATAAACTGTTATTTGATGGTATTAGCCCATTATAAAATAACCATAGATAAACAGTACTTTACTTTAATACAATGGACTTGTTTAGTGAGCTGTTTTTCTTACGATGAACTTTTGCCTATGTGAAAAAAAATGATCCATTCAGGTTAACATCATAGCAAGAGGAAGGGGTTGATTATTTACTTCTTAATAGTTCCATTAAGAAACAACATCTGAATCGTTAAGAGGTGAATCTTGTTTAGCAAAAAAAAGTTTGTCTCTTAATGGTTCTAAAACATTTTGAATGATTTTGTATCATGGGTATCCCTTAACCATTTAGCGCTAGCGCTCTAATTTCATTGTAAACAATTATCAAACAATTATATTTTATTTTGCACTATATCATGGGAGCCTGTTAATCATTTTGCATCAAACCATTCAGCAACTATCAAACAACTTTGAAGGCCTACTAAACTGTTCCAACAGAGTCATTAGGTTTGTACGAACCACTACATGTAAGTGTCTTGCTACTAGTTTGCATGATAATTATTATTAGGGGTGTATCAATAGGCAAATGATTCAACCTCGAATTTACCTAGGCATAGGGTATTTGAACTTTCAGAAGTTCATGGGCTAAAATTGAAAAATCATAGATAGTATAGGGACTATTTATGTAATACACTCAAAATACAAGGAGTCCATTCAAATCTTAAACATTTCCATAAGGAAACCAACAATCATATACGCCTCTCATCCATTCCCCTCGTTTGCCTCATCAGATTATCTGACCGATCTCCGATTCTTAGGTATGTTTTTTCTCTCTCTGGATTGGATCTTAAATCCCTCAAATATAGGTTTTATCTGAACCTTTTGTTTGTAGATCTTATTTGTTGTTGACTCTGTCTGTTCTTGATCTTAAGTTTGAATCTTAGCATTGCCTGTATGGATCTCAAACATATGATTGCTTAATCTGTCCGTGGTTTATTGTATTCTCTTCTGAATCTGGGTTTGTCTTTCTACTTTAGTTCAGCTAGTTTTATTTTTGATAAATTTGAACTTAAGTTTGTTGATTTGTCAAAATTTTGTCAATTTCCGAGCAATTTTAACCGTGGTTTTAGTTTGAGATGTATTATTACTGTGTGCGATTGCTATCTAGGGGATTTTGCTTCTAATGCTTGTCACCAATGGCCGCCGTCGTTCCCATGAGATGTTTAGTAGGTTAATGGTTCAATGCCCTGCCTGATAAGAAAAAACAAAAACAAAATAGAAAGGACTTTATGAATTTGATAATCGTTTGGTCTCAAATTAATCCATTTTGGACCTCTGCAAATAGTTGCAATGTTTCTTTCGTTTGGCAAATTTGTATCATAAATTTATGTATTTACCCATTTTAATTACTGCGAACTATGAAATTACTATTGTCATGGATTTTGGTCCAGAAGATCCCTTGTTTTGTCATTCTGGGAGGCTAAATAAGAGATTTGATATAGTCGAATAATTTTATTAAACTATGAAATTGTAATTATTTTAAGAGTTGGTGAACTCGATTATGTTTTTAGCGATCTAACTTGTGATGACCCATGTTGCGGTGATTGATTGTTAATCTAATTTGATTGTTCTTTCTGTTTGGTTACACATTCTTTATACATATATCGGATGATTAGAGCTTGTTATAGTTGGAATCTCTTGCTGAATTCTTAATATCTAATTAGTTATTATTGCATTTGATTCAACTTTAAGAAGCATTACGATGTTTCTATGGTCAAATTGGTCATAGCCTCGTAGGAAACATGATAATTATTTTTTGAAGATGAAAACTTTTGCATTGGCTAGTTCTTTGTATAGAATTTTCACATATTGCTATGGTTCTTATATTCTAAGTAATTTTACATCAATTTTCGATCCAACATGTAACTCATTTGACCCCAGAAGTCAAAACACATCTCTAGTTTTGGAAGAATGTGCAATATAACGTAGTTGTTAGAAATTCTTTCCCTGGTGGCGAGGGGGATGCCAAATTGCCAATATCCTTGAAAATTATCTTGTTATCTCATACCTCTTCATATATATTTTCTTTTGGGTTTGATGTTATTGTATTCATTTTCCCCCAAATATTAAGCTTTTCTGGGTTTCTGTCTATTTTTTTCGTTTACCATGAAAGTATGACGATTTTAGCTATCTATATAAAAAGTAAAATTTATGAGTTTCCAACTTCTATTCATTCAAAAATGGCCCCTTAGATTTTCTATATGCACTCTCCTTGTTGCTGCACCGAATGTAGTGCCTCGAACCTATAGAAAAAGCAACAAAGTCGACTGAACAAAGTTTTTCTGGGGGTTCCGCCCCCTTTTTCCAAAAAAAAGGTCGACTGAACAACCTTAAATACAATTAAAAAACATCGTGAGAGGTTCCTCGTAACAGCCCACAATCCACATTACCACCGATTTGGAACATGATATTAGACTTGATGAACATAAGTGGACGCTGTCAATTTGTATCTAGAGAGAGGTAATTCATAACGTTGTTGGCTTCTATGGTGAAGTTAGCATGAGCTTAGTAATTTATTTATTTATTTAATTTGGGTGGGTGGGAGGGGATGACTCACATGTTGGAATATATGTATGAAGAACATATTAAATCATACAAGCTACTTTTTATTAGAAATATCTTCTTGGTGGTAAAGTATCATAAACACCGTTTATTTTTCTGGTGACATTCTTATACTTGTTCGTGTAATTATTTCCTTTTTCTTCACTCTGAGTTATCCATATCAATGTCAAATTCAAATTAGTTTTTTTCAACAATTACAAGTTAAACTATAACACATAATAGAAAACACAAGGAGCAAAAAGTGATTAGATATGGACCTTCGGAAGTAGAAGTTTGAGGTCATGTTTGAACATTACACACATGTTACATTTGTTCATTCCTTTTTTGTGAGAAATAGCATTATGTTGATGACGAGGCACGAGCGAAGCTATTTCCTCGCAAAAACAAAGTCAAATCCATTAAAAGTGCATGGCATCTGTTAACATAGCTTTCTTTCTTCCATCTTAATTTCTTAATGGTTGAACTGGGCTTCTTTCACCAATTGTATTTATTCGTCTCTCTAGCTACCAAAATAATATATATCTATATTATCTTGTAAAACATTAAGGCAACACTCTTGAAAACTCTTAAATTTCAAGAATACATCATTAATGAAAAACATGAAAGCTTATCTCACAAAGGTGGAGTGGGATGAGTCAAAGGCTTTGGTTTCACTATTTTATAGAACTCTTAAATTCTAAGAGTACGACATATATGAAGCATTAAGTACAAATCAGTAATGGGTTAAGAGTTATGCACAGAAGATGCATGGGTTTTGAAAACCCCATCTCACCATGTCCATTTCTTTTGCATATTTAGTCATTCATTTATGTATAAATGTTTGATGTCATAGTTGATTGTACTTTCCATTGTGTTCAAACATAATTCAGATTTTCTTTTTCGATGAGAAATTACATTAATTTCCATTCTTTGTTTACACTGCTGCATTGCACTGAGACGCAACTAATATATATAGGGGTGAGATTCAAGGAGAACCCCAAAAAAAGAACCTAAAAATCATGAAAAAACGGACAAAAAAGTATATCAATATGGATGTCAAATTAAAGAGAGTAAAATGATCATTTTTGCTGTAATTTGTTCTGTTCCAATTTTGATTATATTTTGTTTATTTTCGATCAAAAAGGGTGGGGTGGGGGGAGGTTTTTAATTTAAAAATGAAGTTGTAATCACCCCTTCAATCATATCTCTTCTATCAATTAATCTAACGCTTATGATATACATATGTGTGTGTGTGTGTCATGATCTATTCTGTTTGGGATATAAATGGTCTTGAAACATGTATGCACATTATTCTATCATTACAAAAACTGTGGCTATAATGCATTGTAAGTGTTTTGTGCCATTTCTTATGTATTCATTTGATTTTGTGGCATATTGGAATCATGTAGCCTGGTGGTGTATCAGCAGACATGGATTCTAGCAGGGGCCAAAATGGAATTCAACTCTTGTTAGCTGCAGAACAAGAAGCTCAGCAAATTGTCAATGCTGCTAGAAACGGTGTGTACTTTTGTGCTGATGTGGAGCTTTAATTTTTCCTCTTCTTGTTGATATGATTACATTAAGTTCTCCCATCCTTAAATTGATAAAGATCCTTGTTTGCTTATGCTACTATCTTCTTCTAAAGTCAAATGTACATTCTGACTTTTTCCGTAACTTAACATGTCCATAATCTTTTTGAGGATTAAAATCCCTGTCATTGAGTTCTTTTTGGTAATTCAACATGTTATTTTTCTTCAAATGATATAAACCCTACAAGAATTCAGATCCTCAAAATGACTAGTTTGATATAAAAGTCAAAATAATTTGCTAATTCCAAATAGATGCAATTAATAATACTGCCTTGCCTTTTGTTTTCAGCAAAACTGGCTAGACTAAAACAAGCCAAAGAAGAGGCTGACAAGGAGATTGCTGAATTTCGTGCACAAATGGAAGCTGATTATCAGAGAAAGCTCACCGAGGTACATTAAATCGTTGAAGAATGTCTAAAAACATAATCTTTTGCATGCTGTTAATCTGAACAAGGATGGAACGATTGTTTCAAGTACAAATGGTTTCTTGTGGTTACATCATATGCCTATATAGTCAATTAGTTTACCTTATTGCAATCAGTCAATCACTTGGAAGCACCCAAGTTATTTCGGATAATTGAAAACGTCATGATCTTACAGACTCCATATGTGTGATGGGCATCTCTCTTCATCATTTCTCTTCAGATATTCATGTTTTCCTAATTCTCTCCATCACATGGAAACCACAACTATTTACATTTTAGGATTTTTTTTCCGCCTTAGTCGAAGACTTGAAGCTGTAGTCAACCTAGAGGATAACTGTGTATAGGTTAAAAGCAAGTTTTCGAAAATATCAAGTAAAATGGTTAGAAGTTGTCGCAGTAATTTATCATGGTTTGGGATCTTGTTTTACGTCTACTTCCAAGCCTTTCTTAGATTCTGAGTTCACTAATATAAGAGTTTATTGAGGTGGAACACGAACAATACAAGTTATAAAATGAGTTTAACTTTGTATATATAACTTACTCTGATGAATAATTATCAAAAAGTCGTGATAACATAATATTTATTTAGATTTTAACCTGATTTGCGAACTTGAACCATGGAAACAGACAAGTGGAGACTCGGGTGCTAACGTGAAGCGTCTTGAGAAGGAAACGGATGAAAAGATTCAACTCCTGACAAGGGAGGCTGACAGAATTTCAAGTGATGTTGTGGAGATGCTTCTGAAGCATGTCACTTCTGTAAGGTATTAAACTGAAGCTATCTTCAGATTAATCTGTTTTGTCTACATTTCTTTCCATTTTGCATGTGTTGTATTGTCTTATTTGTTGATTGCTCGTTATTGAATAAAAGCCATTCGTGTTCGGAGATTTACAAACTCCATCATGTTCAAGTCTTGAAGCATTTGTTATAAGCACTAAGCATGAAAAGATCTTGTTTTTCTTTTCTTTTCTTTTCTTGAGAATAAAAGATTTGCAGGTTTTTGTAGAATTTGATGGATAACCATGCCACAAGGGAGTGGTCAGGGTTGATCCTGCTTTTGCTATCCCCTTTTCGTTCTTTTCGCTTCCTTTGCATTGCCCATGAGTCATGCGTATAAAGTTATGACCGCAGTCCGCATGGACTTGGGTTCCGGTCAAAGTACCACTCCGAAGTCTGATCCATCAATGATCATAGACGGACTTAGAGGCCGTTTACGAAACATTTACCCGGTAAGCACTTACCGGTAAAATTCAACACTATCACTTACTTACCAAGTAAGATTTTAGTTCATCAAAACGGCATGGTATGCAACAATTTACCTGGTAAGCGCTAATCATGGTAAAAGTATCTCTCTCGCTTACTAGGTAAGACTCTTGGTCCTTGCCTCATTCTTACCCGGTAAAATTCTTGGTCTTACAATATTTATCTGGTAAGGTAATATGATGTGACTTGGTAAGTGCTTACCCGGGTAAGCTTTTGGTAAACGGCCCTTTAGTCTCCGAACTAGGATTATCCCGGTTCACATAGTTGCCATCAAGACCAGTCAGGCTGACCTGCTGCCGGTTTTAGGCCATGCTTCATAAGTCATAAGGTAGCCTTTTTCATTTCAAATAGTTTGTTGGGATTTGTTTTCACTTTATTCAAATCATGCTTCTTATATTCTTTTTTAATTAATTTTACATTGTCATTTGTTTTATTAGCTACAACCAGTTTTTATCAAACGTAACTAATTTATCAGTAGACTTATCAGTTAGTTTGTCGAACATGACTTTTAGCTTGACCCATTGCGGTTCCAGTGTTGGACCGACATGACAGGCTTGTTAAGAGCCGATACAATTTTAATCTTATTAAATGTAATCGTAGTATACAACCCAAGGATTGGCTAGTATAGGCTTTGATGTCTCATGAAATACTATATTTATGGATGAGGTGGGTTAGATGCACCCTTACATGTTAAAATACCATCCTTACAAACATCAATATCAAGAGTTCCTTTCTACATTTCGAATAAACAATTTGACTTGATTTTGATGCATATCAACTCGATAGGATCACTGCTAGAAGATCTAAAGTTTGTCAAAATCATGTGAAATAGACACATGTTAGTTCCAAACCTTATGGCTCGATCAAACCTAGCTCAAGGGACTTCTTTAAGTATTAAAGATTCAAAGGGCGGATTGGTTGGTTCGTTTTTTGTTTTAAAAGTTGATGGTCCAATTTGGTGCTCGGAAATTCATAGCATTACGATTGACTGTGGTGTTATCGTCCTTTCACTCATGAGTTTTTTTGATTTATCAATTGTAGTAATTTATTTATGGAAGGTAGATTATCATCCGCCTAAGCCGATTACATAAATGATTGCAAAAAAATACAATACCATAAAATCCAAGAAAAAAGTGTCAAAATAATTTTAATAAAGAAATTCATAAATGTCTAGTTACTCTTAATTAAAATAGGCACGTACTTGGGTTGGAGTTGGGCTCAACAAGCCGAGACGAACTGGGCTGGCTATTCGGACTCTTATATTCGATCATGCTTTTCTTTACTTTAATTTTATAAGTAAACTTCGTTTTGGTTCCTATGCTTTTTCAAGTTTCTTGGTTTGGTCCCTAGAGTTCATTTAATACTAATCTGCTATTATAGTTTATGGTTTTGTCTCCCACTAATAAACTTTGTTAACCCAGTTAACTAATAGGGCATCTAGGTCATTCCATTTTTTTTTGTCTTCTTTTTTATTAAAAATTAGAAAATAATATGGGGTATTTATAAAAATAACCGGTTTACACAACCCTTTGCCACAAAATAACCACATTTTAGAGGTTTTACCGAAATGACCACACGGATCGCCCCGTAGTGTACGGATCGCCCCCAGGGGCGATTTGTTTGATGAACTCCAGCGCTACCAGCCACCGTAACACATTATACCCCTCATCCAAAAAAACCTGCAACCTATCGTCAACGTTTTGCTTAGGGGTGTAAACAAAAATGCGAGCTCAATATTTTCATCAAAATTCTAAACCTATCCCTGCATTTACAATTTCCATTTAAAAAAATTTGTTGAAGATACTTTTGTATGCTTTTTGTTTTTAAAGTAAATTAGAGAAGAACAAAAAAAAGAAAAGAAACAAAATACCTTTCACATAACGGATGAAGTTAACAACCGATAGTTGCTTGAATTCAAACACCAAACAAAATCAAAAACTGCAATGATTCATTTGTATAATGAACTCTATGAACTAAAACCGAGAAATTTAAAAAAATACAGGGACCAAAAACGAAGTTTACTCTTCTCTTACATCGTTTGCTCGAAATCTTTTTGACGAGTGAAAAACGGAAGGTAAAGAAACTCGTGTTCTTAGAACCTTTTTATAAGAGAAAGGAATGGAAAATAAGGGAAAATAATGAGAAGTTTTTCCTTCCAAATTTGGGAGGAAAGAAAATTAAAGAAATTAAAACTCTTTAAAATAATAATAAAATCATCTAATTTTCATATCAGATAATATATTTTTAAAGCGTATATTAATAAAACGACATTTTTTTCCTTCCTTTCTGTTCTTTTCAAGAACATGAAAAATTATTTGTTTTCTTTCCCTTTCGAGAACGTAAATAAAAAAATGATTTTTATTTCCTTTTGTTTTCCGCCCATTTCCTTTTTTTTCTTTTTTTTCCCCTCCAAATTTGAGAACACAACGTTAAAGAATCCTACAATATTTTTCGATTTCATATTAACATATACACACACCAATATTTATATTCTCTTTCTATATTTTTCAAAATATATGAGTTGATCATGAGGGCTAGGTTTTAGCGAGAAGGAGAGTTAATGTGAGAAGCGTAAGAAGGGATCTATGTCCTTAGATGTGCATTAGGATGAGATGCACCGGATCAATCTCCGTACCAATTGTGATTCATGGGTATGTTTGAGATCAAAAGTGTTCAAAGGTCCAGATTCATTCTTAAGCTTCTGAACTTAACTGTACTTATCACACGATCATTTGTCTTGATCATGATCTGTACTTTACTCTTGATTTTCATTTGGGTTTTCTACATAGGTTATTGTAGGGGTGATTAAAAACCCGACCAATCCGGTCAATTCAACCCAACCCGATGTGAAATAGCTTAACGAGAAATAACACAATATCTAATCGAGTTGTAAAATCTTTAAACCATGAATATTGGGTTGGAATTGAGTTATGTTCATTTGAACCCAATGAACCCGATATCCGTTTATTTATTGGATATAATATAATTGTTAAATCACTATTAATATGTAAATTAGACAATTACAACATCACATACATTCTTCATATACATATATTTTCAATCTCTTCTCCATCTCTATATAAATCCTTCATATATATATGTTTACCGAACATATTTATGCAAATTGAAAAAAATAGCTAAATGTGATATAGTTAAAATTTAAAGAGTATAGATAAGTTATATCAAATGATTGATGATGACAAAATGAATAATAAGTATAGAAAACAACATATTCAAGATCATGTATTTATTTTGATGCACCAAAATATCAACCCAATCAACCCGTACGGTTTAGGTTGAGTTGAGTTGAAATTTTTCAAACCGTAAACATTGGGTTGAATTGTTCAAATACCTTCAACTCAATCAACCCAACCCATAGGTATAAAACTGAAAGTAAGAGTGTTTAAATCAAATTTTTTTTTTTGGAAATTATGCAATTACATGCAACTCAAATCTTTTTCCATATCGATATCATTGAAGCTCGAATAGGAATTTTTATGCGTAATTGAATTCATGACCTGTATAATACAATCAATCTCAAAAGGCTAAAATGTAACGCTTCAGTATATCTTAAAATTCATGTACAATTTTAATCTGTTAAGTTACGTAACCTCTTATATTTTATTTTATTAAGATTATATTTAATAATTATTTTAAATAATTTATTTCAACATCATAACATAATGAATTAGAATTAGAATTAAAATTAAAATTATACGAATATTATATGATTGTTTGTTGTTGGCAAGTCACCTAATTTGGTTTGCTTCATATCTACTTTTGGTAGTTAACCCATAAATGTACTATCGGCTAATGTATATTTATACAAATAATCTATAAACTACAAATTTGGTCCCTCGTGAATACATGCTTTTTGATTTTTGTTCCTCCAAAAGATGAAGTACATTTTTGATCCAAACATCGTGTTTTTTTACCCCAAACTTATCCCTCCCACTAATACCATTAGATGAGGCCCCGTTAAGTCTATCATGTGCCGCTCATGTGAGGTGCATTTTAGTCTTTTTACCTTCCACACAATGAAAACTCTAAACCAGATCCTTCGCCACCCATCACCAAATCTACAACTTGAATGGAAACACTCACTCTAGATGATGCGATGCAGACCCATATATGCTCCCCTCTCTTCTTGATGATGCGATGCAGATGCAATAGTTTACTAGACGTGTGTCCCTTTTTTTTGAAGATGAAACATGTGGAAATCCGAATATAGAAGATGAAGGCGGTTAATGTTTTGTTCTTCATTTTTTTTTGGATCGTTTGCAGTTTTGTTCCTACCTAGATGCAAAACTAAGTCGAACCCAGATCCATATTCGTTTTTGAATTCTTGTGGTTCTGTTCTTCACGAGGAAGCCCACTAAGTTCATTTAGGGTTTAGGTTTGAATTCATTTAGGATTATGTTCTTCACGAGGAACCCCATCCAGATTCGTTAGAAATGTGTTTATGGTTTTGATTTCATGTATGGATTTGTGTAAGTTTGTTTAGGGTTTTGATTTTCACGAATGGAATGTACAAGGTTGATTAAGGTTTTGATTTCGTGAATGAATTTGTACAAGGTTGATTACGGTTTTGATTTCATGAATGAATTTGTACAAGGTTGATTACGGTTTTGATTTCATGAATGCATTTGTGTAAGTTTGTTTTTTGACTACACTTTTGATTTTGAAATCTAGACATGTTAAGGTTCAAGGTTTAATTTTGATTTCTTGAGATTATGTTCT